TGGGATAAAACGGTCTACTGCCCCACCCCCAATGACTCTCTGTTTCCAAATTTACATTACGCTACAACTGTTTCTTTAATTTGAACTTCTAACAAAATTTTGATTCAAAGTATTTTTTTTTTTCCTTACAGCTATTCTATTCCTAGAAATATCCTGATTTGGAACAGGGAAGAATCTAAAGCTCTTTTTAAGGAACAAAAGCAAAGCAATTTCTATGCAGGGAAACACTATTTCTCTCCCAGCCCTACACTTACTTAAACCCCATATTTTACACATTAAGACCCTTTCAAACCCCTTGGCCGGTGATTGTGTGGACAAGTATAAATATACAGTTGTTATTCAGTAAGCATGTGTGTGCATGCATGTACGTGGGTAAATCATGCAGAATTTTGTATTTATTTGGGGATTTTCATGGCTCCCTGTATTTCTTATGATGAGTTGCATACATATAGCCTCATACTCAAGGACAACTTTGGCTTCTACTGAACTTTAGGAAAAATCTAATCTATCCCACATTTGCTCTCAATAACGAGCCTCTCTGCTAGGAGAGCACATTCCCCATGCGCACCAGCACTGAGAGACAGATAGGAATTATTGAGGTCAACAGGCAGTGACAAATACTTTTTTTTTTCAGACTGATGCAGAGCCGATCTCTGTGACTTCTTACAACTGTAGCAGTTGTCCTCCTTCCTTGTAGCCCATGACTTAGTTACTCCCCTTAACAGCATCCTGGATTAATAACTCTGTGTGTGTATGTATGTACATATTGTGTGTGTATAAATACACATATGTATGGTTTTATATAGATATTTATGTGTATATATATGTATGTTTTTTAAATTATCATTTTTTAATGTCTTCAGGTGGCCACAGATGTGTGTGCGCTACCTTGGGGACAGGTCCTTTGCCCATAAAGGGCAGCGGCAAAGCCCCCTTTGACTGTTCCTAAACCGTTGGAGAGGTCTGGCTGGTTTTGTTTTCCCCACCTGGCAGTGCTCTCTCCTGTCATGGCAGGAAAGCTTGGATGATAAATGAGTTCTAGATTAAACAGAAATGGTAGCTTATCCCAAAATTCGCAAGCTGCAAAAATACTTGGAAATAAATGACTGTGACCTGTCATTTCCCGTATGTTTGTGTACTGCTGGGGATGATACCATCATGATCTGCTAGGTCTTTGGATATACAAAATAACATTAATGTTAGTTGATTGGGAAATCTGGGTCATTTAATGAGTTTCTATTTTCACCTCCCTCTAGCACAACTGTTCGTGTTCTTAAGGAATCTCTTGGCATTTCCAAATACCTCCATGCCCTTGCAGGCTCAGGTACTAGGTGTTCACTCCCGGCAGTATAGCAGTAACGTGTGCTGCAGATCATGGAAAAGCATGGCAGGTTTCTCTTCTCTACAGCAAATCAGTCGTAGACCAAAACCTGTGCATTTGCAGGTTATTTTGTCTTCCTCCTGTTCCTTCTGAAATAAGCCCCCAAGTTAGGTCGTTACGGAGTTTTAAATACGTAAAGGCTGTTTTCAACTTTTATTCATTATAGTAAGAACTTCCAATTGGTTTCATTCTTCCTTTTGAGCTCTCAAGCTGATTCTCACTAGTCAAAATTATTAGCCGTAAATTCTGGCAAATTTCTCTGAAAAGAGCGTGTCTCTTGTGCAATGTGCCCGCATCGTGGAGGTGGCTGGGTGGGGGCAGCGCCTTGGCACACGATTAACTTCTGTAGTTATCGTTGGCTTCCATAGGAAACAAGTGTCTTATGGCTAGGCTTTTAAAAAACACGTTCGGCAAACCAGAAAGTTATGTTGTTCTCAGGAGGAGAAAAGGTAAGTTCAACAGGTTTAACTTTATGCCTTAATGAAGATTTATCTAGCCCCGTTTGGCCAACGGCGCAGCTAAGGATCAGTATAAGTCCACTGATGCGGATGGAGAGCATCCCAC